CATAATGGGTTTATAACAAGACTAAAATTTTATAGCAACAAATCTACAGCTACAGCTGAACCAATCACACCCTAACAAAATTAAAGTTGTGTATATTTTTACATTTTATATATTAAACCAAGAAGACGAAAATTCTAGGGAAAATTGCAAAAATGCCACTTTTTATGTGCACATTTGCAAAAATGCCACTTAGAGGTGTTCATTTGAAAAAATGCCACTAATTATAATTTTTAAACTCTATATCTTAAAATTCTAAACACTAAAAAATGTTTTGACCTTTAAACCCCCTAAACCATCATAACTAAACCATAATAGAACATAATTAACCCAAACATAAATAATATACAAAAAAATAATTTTGAAAAAGTGACATTTTTATAAAAATTTTAAAAGTGTGGCATTTTTATAAAGTGGCAGTTGAAAAATGTCATTTTTAAAAAATTTTCAAAATTAATTCTACATAGTTTGGAACGATTCAAACCTTTTTTTTTAATCCGAACGTATTCTTCTATATATATATATTCTCAACACAAATTACACTCAGGTGATGATAACATGTTGTCATGATTTAGAAAACTAACTTTAACTAATTTATTGAAAACCTGATTAGCTTTTCTAACACATATTTTTCTCTCCCAAAATATTCCACTTTTTTCATCAAATAAAAACAAATATATAATTATCGTTCTCTTTTTGATAAAAATACAGTACTATAGAATTTTTTTGAAATACCACTTTTGAAATGCCGCTTTTCAAATATGCCACTTTTTCAAAAAATTTGCAAAAATGCTATTTTTTCAAAATTATATATATTCAATATATTATTTATGTTTGGATTAGCTATGTTGTATTAGGGTTTGAGGGTTTATGACTTATTTGAGGTCAAAATTTTTTTAGGGTTTAGAATTTTAAGATTTAGAGTTTAAAAATCTTTAATTAGTGGCATTTTTGCAAATAGACACACCAAAAGTGATATTTTTGCAATTACCCGAAATACAATTATCGTTATAATAAACCCTTTAATTTAGAAGTTTTCTTTATGTGATATGAAAACATAACTCTCTTGTGCCTTTCGACCAGACAAAAAGAAAACCTCTTGTGCCTTATCAAAGTTATTAGACTTTGAACTCGGGCACATAAAATCTTCGCAAAAAATATAAAGTGAAATGAAAAATCAAGAATATGCAAGAATTAGAAAATAAGTTTAGAAGTTCATGGTTTGGTGGAATCTTTACATGTGTATTTGAGGGTTTTAGGTTTGAATCTTTTTGGTAGGAGAACTATTAGAAATATTTTTCTAATTCATTGGTGGTGGTCGGATGGTAAGAAGAAAATCTATGTCTCATAGCGTAAAACTTAAAAAGCTAGGTTTGATTTACGCTCGAAATTTAGCGGATTACTTTTCGGTTAGTGAATTCTTAACTTGTTTTAGATGATAAAAAGTCACTATTAGTATACTAAAGGGAGATCTCGGTCCTTCAATCCTATATGTTTAACATGTTTATGTGTATGTGTTTTATGAACTTTGGAGTCGATCGGAATTGTCCAAAGATT